CATGTTACCGTATGCCGGCTGCACGATCGGTTCCGCGGATGCGCACTCGGAGAACCGATCGTGCAGCCGGCACACAGCAAATATGGCGTCTCTCCGAGTGCGCATGCGCGTTCATGCGGGTAACCGATCGTGCAGGCAGCACACATCGGGCACTGACAGCTCTTAGCCAGTGTTGTGCAGAGAGCTGTATCAGTTAAAGTGACCCTTGACCTTTTGCGCGTGTCATTTCCTTTTTGTCTCACATTATCTAGTTTTATCGCTCCTAGGACTTGGGGGGCTCGGTTTAGCTCTTTCTGTTTGTTGAAGGAGAAATGGCATTAGCACAACTGTGTCCTGTCAATAAACTGTGACTCAGGTCTGTTTTAATCGGTTTAGTTTACTTTTAAATTGAATGACACTCAGAGGAGCAAAAATGCATAGTTCCACTGGATTTTCCTGTGATGGATTCAAAAATTTATATCCCGGAAGGAGTTTTGCTTCATACCTTAAAATAATTGTCATCTGTTAAATTCCTGTTTATCCTGACAGATGTCCAAACTCTGGTCTTGGATGGAGGCAAGGGGGGGCGGGGGGGCTCCCCTTAATGACCGTAACATAACGGCATTCTGCTCAGGACTGCCAACTCTTTCTTTCAGCGCCCCCTCCTGGCGGCAGAGCAGGTTGATAGAGATTACAGAAACTTGGCTAGGGACTTCCTGCAAAAGCACCGAGGTAGGATCAGAGAATATGCCCCTCTGGTGTCATGTGGGTTTTGGGTTGAATCACGGGACAGAAGATGTCCTCCTGGTGCACTAGGGGCAGTTTGGTTGGGTAAACGGTGACTTCAGGTTGGGAGATGTACATATATACTTTAATAATTTGGTGGTATTTTTGAGAAGCTTTGGATCACTCGTGGAAGAAGATGCTGAATTCCAGAAGAGCTGGAATGTCTGACTGGGCAACAGAAAGAGTAGCTGGGCAAAGCGGACATGGGAACGTCGACCTTTGACCTGCAGGCCACTGGAAGCATTATAACTTGGCAGGATGAGGCTTTCCACCTGCCACCAGCCAATTCCATGTTCCCCCGTCCTTTAGAGATCAAGAGAGGCGGACATCAGGGTCTGGGGGGGTAAGGGCTGGTGATTCATGCCTGGGAAAAGCAGCTTCTGGATAAAACACCCCTTGGCCAACTGTGCCGAATTTGTTCTGTCATCAATAGACTTTGTGGCCTTGCTTTTGTCTTTGTTGTCTGTCTCAGGGGCTGCTGGGAAGGGTGGAGGACTATGATGGTTTGACAGTCAAGCTTTAGCTCCCAAACCTGACTGCTGAGTGTTGATTCTCAGGCTACAGCTCGTGTCATGCAGCATCAGCAGTGAGTGGTGCACTAACTAAACACAGAAACAGTCCTCGAAAGAGCCTGGGTCCAGTACGGTGAAGGTGGGCAGATTTTTGCCGACACTTAAAAGAGCCAGAAAATGAAGTTTAACTGAGGTGACAGAATTAAATATTTTCCTTTGAGAAAGAGAAATTCGAACTGCGGTTTTGCTTTGCATTAGAACACCTACAGTAAACTGTTAAATGAGTGCAGCGGACAGCAGGTGGCGTCTGTGAGCACTGGTCACTACTTGCTGAGCTCTGTCTCCTGTCTCAGGGTGTCGCTGGATGGCACGGGGGTGCTGCACATCTCGAGCCCCAGCGTGGAGGACCAGGGAGTCTACCAGTGCACTGCCACCAATGAGCTGGGCTCCAACACCCAGAGTTCCCAGCTGTTCATGGCCGGTGAGACCCACACACAGTACCGGGCGGCAGATGGAAATGGGCTCAGATCCCCCAGGCAGCATTACTGACTAACTGAGTGGATAATCATTTCAATTAATATAAAACTGCATTTTTTCCTTTCATCCAAATCAGTCTGACACAGATTTATTCGATGTAATTGCTGAAGAATGTGAAGTATTTTTCCTACGTTTTTTTGCCAGCCTCTTTTGCCAACTGACATCCATGTGTATGTTTGCCAGAGTCCATTATAAATAGATTAAGATGAAGGTATTATAGGGTCACACTGAATAACTAAATATGTGCGTGGCACAGAGCCCCCGGTCATCGCTGCCTCGAAGAGCGACGTATCAGACGCCCAGAGCAGCGTACTGCAGGTCGTCGTCGGGGGCAGAGTGGCTGTGGAACCAGGGGCCAACATCTCTCTGCTGTGTCCCGTCTCAGGTGTGTCTGGAAGGTCGACAGGAAGGGGCTGTGGCTCCCGGTTCCCGAAATCCTCCCTGCTCTTATGTTCACTGGTGGTGAGAGATCTGTGAACCCTCATCCCAGAGTGATCCTGGGGATAATCCACTTTAAAGGATGTGTGCAGGAAATACCAGCATCAGAGTCAGGGTGAATGATGGCACCATGTGCTCTCTCTGTTAGACAGGAAGTGCCAGGTTAGCAGGGAACTCCAGGGGATGCCTCTGCCCCCTTTCTACTTTGTGGAGAGGGGGGGGTGCAGGCTGTGAAGTCTGTTTTTATAGTGTATGGGAGAGGAGGTTTTGCGCAGAAAGCCTTCCATGTCATTAACAGTATAACAGCCAGTATAACCAGCAGCTCCTGTTTGTTACTGGTTTCCTGGTCACGTTCCCGTCTCCGGGATAAGCAGACAGGAAGAGTCTCTTCCTGGGATGATGGTATTAGGCGGTCCAGCTCCTCCACCACCCAGGACCGCGCAGTTCTGAGGGTATTCCCAGAACTCACCAGTGCCCAGGGGCAGGACCCCCTGTTCGACTGACTGGAGCATCCGCCCTCTGGCAGCGCTGTGAGGTGGCATCTGCTCCAGGTCACGTGTGGCGTGGCAGGCGGCCTGAGCCATGTGGTCCTGGTTAGCGAGCCGCGCGGCTCTTCAGCGGTGTGTGTGTGACGCCGGCACTTTGCTCCGTGAGCGGGTTCACAGAACCCGAATCTGTGAGTAAAGTAAGATGAACCACGTTTCTGTGTCTGTCCAGGTGAACTGTCAGCGAGGAGCACGTCTGCTGTGACATGTAAATGAGTGTGACGGTGTGAGCACAATGGCGTGACCCATGTCCTGCGCATGTCCTGTGACAGGCATGCCCCGGCCAAACATCACCTGGAGCAAGGCGGAGGGGTCGATGAACCCGAACGCCGTCCCCCTGCCTGATGGCTCTCTGCTGCTCAGGGAAGTTTCGCCTGATGAATTCGGGACGTACTCCTGCACTGCCTCCAACCACCTTGGGGTGGCGCTGGCGTCCAGCCACGTTTCTACGATTGGTATGTCCTGTCTGGCTCAGTTGGGCAGTGAGGTCCCCCTGAGATGTAGGTGGCACTAGATCCAGGGCTACTCTGTGGGTTCACCCCAGGGCTCATACTCAGCTCAATCAGGCAAACGCGTGAGCCTAAAGCTGGATGGTGTACCTACAGAAATAGAAACAACCCATTTCAATGCGTCTTGTTGAAATATGTATAACAGGAGCCTGTTGTCGTTTGTCCAGGACCAGCCACTAGGGGGCGCCATCTGCAGCAGATCGTGAGCCACAAGAAGGTGCTGATGGCCTCTCGTTCAGGCACCGGCATCGCTGTCCGGCGTGGGGATGTCCTGCGCATAGGTGAGCCCAGGCCTCCTGGCTTTTTATCATTATACTATAATTCATTAGGCTTCTGTGGTCTCAGGCCACTGGGGTCGGGTGGGTTTAGCTCAGGGAAACTCAGTTGTTTTTCCCAGTGGTCCAAATTCCATCAGCCACATAAAGCCATTGTGGGGAGGGGGGGGGTGTCCCCTCAGTAAATTTTGCAGTTTTGCCACTGCCTGTATATTTTGCTGACTTGGGGATCTATGTATGTTTATCAATGTGCAGCCCAAAATTATAAAATTAAGTGAACTGGAATCTCTAAATTTGAGTCATACTAAATTATAATGTGTCTGTGAGAATCTGTGTGTGTGTGTGTGTGTGTGTGTGTGTGTGTGTGTGTGAGTGAATGAGCGGTCCCCATAAGGATATGTTTACCCTACACGTGCGTGCGTGTGTGTGTGTGTGTGTGTGTGTGTGTGTGTGTGTGTGTGTCCTGCAGTTGTCGCCCTGTCCCCTGCCTTGTCGGTACTTTCTTGGATGGCCTCAGTGACCCATTATAAATAAAGATGGATGAAATATTTCTCTCTGTTATTTACACACACAGCATCCCCAGGATTTATCTGGGAGAAACATTCAAGCTCCTTCTGATTGGCTGCCAACCGCAGCGCTGATTCACTTACCAGTCCCCCCCCGCACAACCCACAAAACCACACACATTCCACTGCCTCCCGCAACACCCCCCCCGCCCCCCCCCCCTTCCCGCCTGCCCCCCAGGGTGCCCCATTCCTTCAAGCTTCGCGGAGCCCATCAGCTGGTACTTCCACAATCGGAGCTTGCAGGAGACCCCCGCCCTGCGCTACCGGACCCTGGCGGAGGGCCGGGTGCTGGAGGTGGACACACTCTCCGGAAGGTTCCAGGGAAGCTACGTCTGCCAGACCGCCGGCCGCTCCCATTCAGCGCTGGCCCAGATCCACGTCAGCGAGGAAGGTCTGTGTGCCATGCGCCGGTGGTGGCTTTTGATGTCATCGCTCATTAGCACCATTCCTTCAGCGCTAAACGGCCGCGGCGGATTCCAAGCACTCGCTGCGGGTCTGGAGCCTTTTATTTAGCTAAATGCGTGTCATGGGGGCAAAGGAAAACAGCCACAGGGTGCTTCTGCACATGAGATGCTCTTCTAAAACATTTGTTTTGAATGTTCCTTTGTTTAAGTTTGGCGGAGGTTCCTCTGTGTTATTCTGGCAGGGGACAGCGGGGGGCGCTGTTTGATACCGTCATGGGGCATGTGCCTTCCTACCACTGCCGTGGGGGCCCATAGACAGCCATTTTCCATCACTTACCAAGGTCCTTTGAGTCATGTCAAGGAGCCAGCTAGCAGCCTTAATTAGCATTTATTATAGATAATTAAAGGTCAGAGGTCAGGTTGGCGGGATTAATTTGAGGCCAGTTTGAGGCCATGTTCATGCTGTCAGAAGGGAAGCCAGGTCTTCTCGGCCCACGCTGCCTTGGGTGAGTGTGGGGAGGGACCCCGGAGAAGCAGCGGGCTAATGGCTGAATGGCCATGTGCCCTCGGCCTCCCGCCCAGAGGCCCTGCAGCCCCTGACCTCTTCACCATGTGATCTTATTACCCATAATCTGAGACTGTGGTGGCACTGTTTGCAAAGGCACATCTCTGTGCTTCAGTGCTGTTTTGCCATTAGCGCAGATGATGTTTGACTGTGCACTGTATCATCAAGTGTCCCCCTTACTGTGCAGTGCGACCCCATGACTCTCTCTGTACACTGTGTGACACTGACTCACTGGGCAACCCTGTGACTCTCTCTGTACACTGTGTGACACTGACTCACTGGGCAACCCTGTGACTCTCTCTGTACACTGTGTATTCAAATAATATAAAGTATTTGTTCTCACCCCAACACCAGCTGGTGGCTGGGTAGTCTGGACTGTACAGGGCTGTTGAAGATCAGTTTGTGTTTTGTGAAGTTTCAATCATTTCAGATGAGTTATTATATTATATTATATTTTTCAGAATAAAAGTGCTTGGATAATTTGATCTGAATAATGCAAAATAAACATATTTTGGGAAAGTGTACATTGTACTGTTGGCGTGTTGGTGAATGTGGAGCTGGGATGGGGATAGATATCATCCCGGTGACTCCCTCACTGTGTGACTCTGACTCTGTGACTCTGCAATGAGCAGTGTTCCACTGGCGGCCGGGAGTCTGGACAGCCTGCAGTGCCAGCTGTGGACACCGAGGGCTCCGGTCCAGAAGGCTGCGCTGCACTGGCTCTGGGGGTCAGGAGGTACCAGTGGCTCTTTGCCAGCATGTCCCTCAGCCGACAAGCCAGACTCAGCCGTGCGGCATGCGGGACTGTCCCCCCAGGTACGCCCAACAAGATCCACCCCCTCCCGCCCACACACACACACACACACACACACACACACACACACACATCTCTGCTTCTGAGCCTATTTGCTAGGATTGTCAGCTCGGTAAAAAATGCGGTTTCTTTACAAATGAGGATGGGTAACTTCTCTGTCATCTCACCACTCGGCGATTCGTGGCCAGCCTGCTAACCCCGACCTCCCCCCCCCCCAAACGTGAATTATCCCAAAGGACTGTTAATGAAGCCCAGATTTCCCTGCTGTGAACGGCGGCGGTCTTTCCGTAGAGTCAGGGGGCTGAGGTTTAATCGTTAAGAAAAAGCTTAAGAAAAATATAAGTCACGGGCCGGACAGGAGCCTGTTTCCCTGGTTACGGGTGCCCGTGCCAAAATCATCATCTTACCGTCCTCAAGCGGACCGATACTCACACTAATCGCAGTGTCACTCGGGTCTGTGAAACCGCTGCAGGTCGTTTCCGAGACCTTGCGGGGAATCTGATCACAATGAGCGTCTTTGTTGGCCCTTGATGAGCCGTCGGGGGCGGTGGGTGCCGCTCGTCATGCTTGGCCGTGAGGCCCCCGCTCTTCCCTTACATGCGCTTCCTCTAACCCTCCACCAGCTGCCCCAGTATCGCGGTAATGCTTTGCAGTCCGTACCGAGCTCCCTCTTTAAAAAGGGGAAATGAAGCTCCTTTTGTGTGTCAGTCGCTGGCCAGTGAACGTCAAACTCCTTTAACCACCAAGCCAGAGGTACTTCGGCGCATGCAGCCCTTTTGTCAATAACAGCCTCAACCAAAAAACCGTATTTATGTTAAAGCAAGGATTTTATTTTATTAATCGGTGTGGAATTAAGATTAATTTAATAGGATTAATCGATCAAAACAAATACTGAAATCAACGAACACAAAATGTATGACAGACACGACTGTATTATGGGTTTTACGGCTTTTTTGCAGTTTTGCAATTTCGTCATCGGGGGAGGAAGGGGTCGCTGCGGACGACTGTGGTGGGTTGTGTGTAGCCCAGAGTTTTGGTTGAATCTCAATTTGCTTAATTTGTGTACCTCACCATACTTATGTTCTTGTGTACCCATTTTACGTCATCTTCCAAAGACCAGTTCCAATAGTAAGAATACAAGAACACGAGGACTGTAAAAATCCATGGATGTTGGTTTTGCTCCACCCCAAATATTAAGGCTGCATCGGTTGCATCTTTGCTGAATGAGACCAGTCCCATGATTCATTGCACCCCAACTTTGTTCTTGGAAGGCAGGTTTGCAAGACTGGTCTTGCCAAGACCACACGTGGGGTCTTTGCATTCTTGGTATTGAGATTCACCCTTGTCTAGCGGAAACCTTGCACAACCATACGCCATGTGCAAAGTAATTGATTAGGTATTTGCAGTAGGTGGCAGTGTGGACTTTCACAGATCAGCGGTCAACGGTAGAAGAGTAGAGGAAGAATAGTTGTTTTTGTTGTTGATGTAATTATGGTGAGCAGCTGTATGAGGAAGGTTGGAGATACTCTCATATCTAATATTTCATACTGTCCAGACATTATACTGAGGAATTCGGTATTTTAATAAGTAGCACTATTCCAGCATTTTGAAATCTTGGAGATTAAAATTCACTGAGCGTGAAGAACATAAGAAATTCAGAAACAAGAGCAGGCCATTCGGCCCATCAAGCTCGTTTGGGTGGTTTGGAGTCCCAGCTAATTTTGTCATAAGGATTTCAAAATACTGTGGTATACCTTACTGCCATAATACTGCCCAAGCCTTGACTCATAACCTGATGCTTCACTGCACTGCTTGTATTTGTGTTTGCTGCAATACATCTGGCTTCTGCTGGTCTGGTGGAGTATCACTGCTGTATGCAGCACGGAACACGGCCATGTGCCTCAGCAGCCAAATGTAGTATGAACACAAGCTGCCGCGCAGACAACCGTCCCCAGCCCAAAAGCGCACGCAGAAAAGTACAGTATGAACTAGGCTGTAAGTGATGAATGGTCTTGCAGCGTAGGGCTGAACGGGGCCGGTGTGACTGGAAGAAGGGGTAACTACAACAACATTCTCTCTTGATTGACAGCTGGGAGTCTGCTGTGTGGTCGGAGTGCTCCACTTCCTGTGGGCGGGGCCATCGGTGGAGGCAGGTGAGGTGTCAGCAGAAGTTGGCCGGGGGAGCGGTGGGGATGATGCCCGAGTCCGCCTGTGGGCGGGCCACGCGGCCGACAGACAGAGAGGATTGCCACTTGCTCCCTTGCGCGGCCTGGCAGTTCAGCCCCTGGGCACCGGTAAGCCCGCCTCCTACCACCCCAAGCCCTCCTCTCATTGGCCGCCGAAGGCAGCCCTCTGACACACACTGCCTTCCTGCTTCTCCAGTGCTCTGGCCTGTGCATTGCTTCCGGCCTTGCACTACAGAGCCGGCCAGTCATATGCAAGCACTCCAATGGCTCCGCCCTCCCTTCCTCACACTGCGACCCCTGGACCAGGTGAGGAGATGCCAGCTCCCACTGAATTTGTAGTTCTATTTATAATGACTTGGTTTCCCTGTTGTTCTGTATTGGACATACTGGCAAATTACCGATTACCTAGAATATAATAGAATTATAAGTGAATCACTGCCAGCAACATTTTATTTATATAAAATATTGTAAATTTAGTGCGTCAGATTGCCTGTTTTATTTAATATAGTGCAAGCTGTCATATTGGACGCTTTCCAGCATTTCTTCTAGGTTTAAATCACAGTGAAGGTGGAAATAACTCAGTCCTTTAAAACAGTCCATGTTTTTGCTACTGGGAGCCAGGAGGGAGCAAAAATGTAGACTGTCTGGAGGTCCCTAATGACCTGGTTGGGAAACTTTTATGAAATATAAATGAGTAATTTATCCTTAGCTTTTAGTTCAGTTCAATACAGTTTATTCAGTTGTTTATTTGCCACACAACCAAGGTTGGTGGAGTTTCTGTACAATATTTTATATTATTGCTCATACATAAATACATAGCCATCTTATTCCATTCTTTGCTCTTTAGATTTGTTACTCTTTACTGACCTCTAGTGGCCTGGCTTCAAACGGCCTTTCCTTTGTGATCCCCACACGTACATTGATGCTGTATAATGTTTTATGCCACACGCTGCTTCTGTCCACAGGCCATCGTCGGAGCGCAACTGCTCATGGGAGGTGTGCGCCACCTGGTGGAAGGTGGGGGCGTGGCGGCCGTGCAGTGCGGCCTGCGGTAGCGGCTTCCGCTCACGTAGAGTGGAATGCGTCCACCAGGGCACCGGCAGGACAGTTGCAGAGCAGCACTGCGCCTGGCGCCGCCGACCTGTGCCCTGGCAGCACTGCAGAGCTGCACCCTGTGAAGGTAGAAGTCCGCGCCACGTAGCTGGGTTTCTAAAGGAGCCAGGGGCCCGTCTCTCCTCTTTCTGGCATTTCTACGTAATTCCGGTCTGTTTTTGGCTGCATGAGTTGCATTATGAGAAGCTGCATAGCTGAGCGCAAATGCAGCAATATTTCAGTGATGGGATTGTGGTTTACAGCCTCTCTAAGCATGTGAGGTTCCCCTCTAGGCATCACATACCCCTGACCGTGGTGTACTGGGATAAGGCGGCATGTGGCTCTGCGACTCTCTGCCCATAACTGAAGGGTTCAAACCAATGACATACTGTAATCCTAACCCATGCTATTCTGTATCCATATTGTGAATGTCCTGCTTGTTTCTGGGCTAAGATCTGACAAAGGTTTTTTTGTCACCTATGTGTGTCTGTGGCTCCTCCATGCATTGCTCTGCAGTCTGGAGGTGGGGAGGGGGCTCAGCGTCTCTCACCTGCTCCGCTGCATTTGTTGCCCCCTGCAGATGCCTGCAGAGACTCCACCCACTACTGCCCTGCCGTCAAGCGGCTCCACCTCTGTCCCCTCAGCCTCTACAGGCAGCGCTGCTGTCAGACCTGCGCAGGGGAGGCGGCGCGTAGCCTGTAACGGGCTGGCCCGGCCCGGCCCGCACGCATCGCCGGCTCGGGGGGGGCCTCCATCCTGCTGCACCCCTCCTGGAAAACAGTGCCGCTTAGGGAAGCGTTTCTCATTAGCCTCGCATGGACTTTGCTTGACCTTCCTGGACTTGAGCATTGTGGACATTTTATGCAGATGGACTGGTTCACGACAGAGGCCATCACCTGGGAGACGGCGTCACCACCAGCAGATAGGACACCCTCCGTCATGTCTGCTTGTCCCCTTTTACCATCTTCTGCCCTGTCATTTCTGTGCGACGCCGGAGGATGAGGAGCCGTGTGGGATTCTAGAATGATGACCTGAGAGTTGCCGCTATGGAAACGGTGCATTATGAGGTCGCCGTGGCAATGCTCTCACCTTCAGGACATTCCGAACTTGGGAGAAAGTGTCATCCGTGCAGTAATGCAGGGCAGGTTATTGAGGAGAATTAGACCCACGAGTACACACACGAAAATAGTGAAAGGCTTGCTGGCTTCTGTTAGGAATAAGCTACCACAGCGACTGGATTCTCTTTGAGCTCGAAGCCGGTGACCGAGTTCCCGATGGCGTAGGCCGAGCTTCAAAAACAAGGCATAAACTCCTGGCTACGCTCTGCCGTGCAGTGTATAGTGCAGTGATACAGTGTACATACACAGCGCTCTCCATGGTCTCATGCAGGCATCGCTGATTGCTTTTGAAATGTGAGGAGTCGTGTTGCAACGTGATAACACTAAACTCGGACAAGCTGAATGTCTTATGCATTTATACAGACATTGTCAAGCACATCGCGTGAAACTTCACAGACTGACAGGGCTGATCTGGGACTCGGCATTCCCTGAGGACGCTGTCTGGAGGCTGTGATGTGAGAGCACTCCACGCTCCATTCCAATACCAATTTTTCCAGTGCAGCTGATTGAGCATGAGATAAAAAACAGTTAGGATGAGTACTGGGAGTGGGCCAGTGCTGAGAGTTTAACCAGGTAGCAAACAAATGCTGCTGCATTGTGGATCAATGAATTGAACACTGAGTCCCAGCATTAAAAGGAGGAGGGATGCATTTTATGAGATGGTGGCACAGTGGCACAGTGTCACAGTGTCACCAACACACTTATCATATACATCTTAGGCCTTTCCCATAACATTTTGTCTTTTGTAAAAATGCCTTGTACAAATCCTGCTTTTAAGTGCAATACTGTACATTGAGTGTAGATTTTTGGGACTTTATTTTATTGCCAAAGTATATCTATACAGCTATATTTCCATATGCTTTGTGTTTAATTGATTTAAAGACAGTGTCTGTATTTAGTACTTGGTACCGTGATTATAAACATTTTTCCTTCGTACGCATGCAGTTGGGAGAAATATTGCATCTGAAGTTCAGGCAAGCAACACAACAGGATAGCTTTAAACCACTGTCACGGCCCACCATACCTACTGATACATATCAAGACTTTTTTAATGATTAAAATGTAGAACGCATGATCCCTTTGTCACAGAAATACCTGACTGGTCGCAGTAAAGCAGTGTGGAGGGTCACTGGGATGCAGTGCTATGTGTATGGAATAAACAGCTTGGTTTGTCAGTAATGGTTCAATTTTGCATCCAGAATGGTTCATGTGGTTCCAAGGTGTGTATGGTTGTAATTAAATACATAATGTCTTAAATTACTCAGAATGTGCCACAGGCTGTTTGTCAACTGAAAAGCATATGAATGCACACTGCAGTCCCTCATAAAGCAAAAAACACCTTATTTGCGAGGATGGAGGAGAGATTTGCAGGGGACACAACTTCATTTAAATGCAAAGGGTTTTTGAAAGGATGAATGAGGCCAGATTAAATATAAATGATATATAATGTAAATATGATATAAATTAATTATAAATTAAATTATGTATTGTATAAATGAAATATGACAGTCCTGAGTGTGTGGCTCAGTGGGCTAAGCCTCTGTGCATATGATCAGAAGGTTGCTGGTTCAAGCCCGACCTTATCTTGCCTGTGGATCCTTGCGTAAGACCCTTAGCCCCAGCTCCCTGATGGCTGCTCTGGCTTATGGAGAGAAAGTTGGGGGAGGTGTGAGGAATGTTTCCCCATGGGGATCAGTAAGAAGTATCTACTAGTATTTTAAGAGAAATCATAATTCTTCCTGCCTGGAAACCTTTAAATGCAGTTATGACCCTAGAAACTGAGAGTTTTCTGGTTGTTCATTTGGTTGGCAGTAGCCACTGCCTGGTAGGTTTAAATTAACGTACGAACTTGGTTACGACCAAAATTTTAGTTTTGACTTAAGACCAAAGTCTTGAGTTATGACCCGAATGCCGGTCGAGGCCAAAACGTGCTTCCGCTTGTGAGGCTGTAAACAAAGAGCTGAGATGCTCGAGAGGCGTCTGTAAGCGTCATTCTGAGCCCTGATACGCCTGTTTGTGGACGGATTTTCGCTCAGTGCAGTGCTTTATATAATTAATTTTGCTAATTGCTATCAAAATGGCCCCAAAAAAGCTATAAAACAAGCTAAGGAAGGAATAGGGTGACCAGATAATCCATGTCAGGGAGGACATTCTGAGCTAGGACAGGAATTGTAAACTACCATTTCAATTAAACGGACCTGGATTTCACTTGAGCACTGAGTTCTTGCTGTGTGCTGATTGGTCAGCCTCCTATAATCATTCATGTGTCACTAATGCTAATGTGAAACAGCTGGATGAGTCTTTCAGTCAAGGAAACAAATCAGTCAAAGCACAAGAAGATCTGAACTATTTAGCCGAGCACAGGAGCCTTTCAATTTGAAAGTAGTTTGTAAAACCCGAAGTAGCTCAAAGTGTCATGACATGGATTATCTGGTCACCCGAGGTGAGGCAGCCAGTGCTGATACAAGGGCTGCCACAAATTACATGCACCACTTCGAAACGATGACACAGAAAAATGGTGAGTGCACCAGGAAAATTATTGGTGTTTCTGGTAAATTACGCACATTATACAACCCTTTTTTATAATGAAAATGTTAGGTAAGGGGTGCTTAGGGAGGTTCGCAGTGAATTATGGGTATTTCCATTATTTGTTATGGGAAAAATAGTCTTGACTTACGACCAACTTGAGTTACGACTAGCCCTCGCAAATGAATTGAGTTCGTAAGTCAAGGGTCCACTGTATATACAATGTTCAGTCATCCGCAGCATTATACGAAATCATATATAGCCTGATGTATTTGAACATGGCCTTCACAAACATCTCAGTCTTTGTGGAGCACTTCTCTGACATGGCTCACTTCCAAAAGCACTTCACCCTGAGTATCATGGGCCTTGCATGAGGGTGGGCTGGGGGATTTCTGGCTGGGACCTGTAGGAGTCGTACACCTCCATGCTCAGGTTGAGTAGGGACCTTATAGGCCGTCCTGGCTGTATTGCGATGGCTCTTCCCTAGACTTGCAGGGTGCTGACCTGAATCGTCTCTGGTGCACTGGATGCTTTTTAGTGCTGTTTGACAGTTTGGCTTTTACATTGTGGTATTGGATCGCAGATAGAGTTCAAAATCAGTGCAGTCAGGGATTGTGGTGAAGGACACAGGTTGTTGATTCTAGAAGAGGGTACTTCAGCTTAATTTGTCCATAATCGAGCTTTGTGAGAAAATAAAATGGTAAGTTACTTTGGATAAAGATGTTGCTGCAAAATAATTTTGTTTTGCTTTTTCTGAAATAAGTATTCCTCTTCATGGCTAATATGTAGTTAAATACATCTTGCATGGTTATCGCACATTTTAAGAAAATTAGTTCTAGTGTAATGAGTTCATTCCCTAGGACTGTATATGATCTACTCAAAGGAACAAATCTTGTATTTGTAAATGAAACCTTGTTTCAGAAGCAAAGGAAATTCCTGTAACCATCTGTAACTGTCAGGAGTCAGTCCTGCTTGATAAGTCACCCCTAGATGATTCCCCTGAAGTTTGGCTGTATTGTGTTGGTGACCCACCGGCGACGTGACATTTCCAAGGTAACATATTCAGACCAGGTTGAAGAGAAAAGACGGGCAAAAAAACTTTACAGTGAAACTGTTGTGATCCTCCTCCCAGTCCCCATTTGACCAGCAGAGGTCACTGGCCATCCCATAATCACCTTGATCCTGGCGCTCATATCTTTACTCTCCACACCTGTCTCTTCCTGGTAAATCCTGTTCAGCGTGTGTGTGTGTGTGTGTGTCTCTCTCTCTCTCTCTCTCTCTCTCTCTATCTTGGTAATTGTCATCATATGTAAAGTTTGGTTTATCTGCCAATTAAAGTCAGTGTCTGTCCAAAAGCTGTTGCATCTACGTGTCTCACCGCTAATGCGGTGTAAGGCGATGACTGAAACTCGCTTTGTTTTTGGAGGCAGTATTTTTCCAAACGAATGAAACCTAAAAGAGCGTAAATGTCACATGTCAAATGCAAATGACGATGCAAATTTCCCACTTATGGGACTAATGAAGGATTATCTAATCTAATCTAATGTCGTGATGCTGAACAAAGAGGAGGAGTGCATATTACTATTTTTCTGGCACAATCATCATGGTACTATGAGGAATTACCCAGCAAGGCATGGTTAAATCTTAATTAGCTTAGTGTGGCATTTGCTTCATAAAATGCAGTTTCCTTCAGTTGTTTGTTAATTTTTTTCCCACAAGGGGGCGCTTTGGTCCTCTATTCTGAGGACTGAGGACAGAAATATTTCATGTAGCTACATGAAGAAATGTCAAAAGCAAAATATGTTTTTTTAGCAGATGATATCACCTCAGTCTGGTTATTGCCCTTTGGTGCCTGTGTGGGTAAATGTGACACCGTGAGGCTGCCCTCCGATGGCCGGCTTAGGTTGTGCCCCCACCTGCGCCTTCCAGGACGACTCTGTCTTTATATCGCTGCACTTTATAGTTTGTTGGTGTCCACAGGCCATTCTAGACCCTATTTAGGGGGGCTTCAGCCACCTATTTAGCGTTTTGTCCCGAATTTATACATATAAATTCCATACCCCTTGTTCAGCTAATTTAATCATGGGCCACCCGGGGTGGGGGGGTCCATTTTTATTTAGGGAGCTGATGCTATTCAGACCCCCTAAGGGTCAAATCCTATGATCTCAGTATGAAGTTGCACTCCTCCAGTCATAATTGAATGACAGAACGATTTTTGCAGTTGTTGACGCTGGGCACGCATCAAACGTACGCTCTCCATGAAAGCGGCCTTAGGACGGCAGCCCCGCCTCCCAGGTTCAGGCCATGTTCATGACGCAGATCAGCCCTTTGTCATACACAGTGATGCACGCATAGGCTCATCAGTTACAGACTGAGAACCTTCTTTACCTCCGCTGAGCTGAAGAGGAGGTTTAGGTGGGTCAGAACAGCTCCGGGAAAGTTTTTAATTTGCAGAGATGGTCGTGGAGCCCCATGACGACCTTGGGAAGTGGGCTGGGTCGCTGCTGCGGGGGCAGTTTGAGGTCATGCGGTGGCCTGACTTTGCCGTGTTTCATGATGGACGGATAAAAACGAGCCCATTAAAAGCTGGCTGAGGTCAGCCGGCCAAGAAATTGGTACATTTCAGGGCCAGTTTTTTATGTAAATTGTAATGTAGTGGCAACAGTGTGGCTTTGCCGGCGAGGGGGGGGGGGGCTTCCCTTTGCTGATGATGTCGTTTGATTAGACGGTTTGTAGCTCACCCTGCAGCCCTGACCAGAATAAACACAACTGCTATCTCCACAGTACTTTGCGTTAAGCGGGAGAACAGCTGATGTAATTCTGCGACATTATACCATCCCATAATGACATGGAGTTTTATCAACCTGTTGTTAGCGGTCATGGAAATTCAGGCAGCACTGCTACACTGGACACAGGGAAACGTAACATTTGTTTTCTATCAAGGCGTCCCTGTTTACCATCAGGAAGCAGAGATGCTGTAAATCCATGTGACATTTTGCTGTGTTTACAGTGCTTATAGAGTACATCTTTAAAGATTTTCATAAACCAAATATAATCACAATCAGTTTCATTAGTCAAGTATGCATGCATACAAAAAACATGACGTGGTTCGGGTGTTTGTGTCAACAGGGCGCAGAGTCACATGACACTGAGACGGCAGGACTGAATATGCATTTTATTTGGGGGCAGAGTGAAAATGTGTCTAACCAATCCAGTGAGACGTACTGAAAACAAACAATCCACTTTGCTGTACGCTTGGGGTGGGACAGATGCATGATGCGAAAGCTATCGCTGAGGGTTAAGGGGGGGTGTTAGGTTCCTGGACATGTGCACTGCGTGAGAGAAGAACAGTCTTGAATAAAATTGCGGAAAAGGGAACAGGGCGATGATTGAGTGGGCTGTTCAGTCATATCAGCTGTAGCATCAGCAGGTCCTGGTGTACTAGTGTACGATGACATGGGTATGCAGGGTGGAGAAGTGTTTGAGCAGGGAACTTCACTAAGTGCTCTGTCACAGTCACGGAGGGTTAGGGTTAGGGTTAGGGTTAGGGTTAGAGATCGGCTGAGCCGGGAATGCTCAGCTCAGCTGTCACATCAGCTCATGCAAAGAGGGGAGTTCTGACGGATTTCACACCCCATAAATATGAGAAGTGCTCCTCAGTGGCTGTGCTCCCTTGGACATGGGATTCTTCTCCACCACACTCTTTGCAGTGGACAAGTTCATTTTATAGGGTC